AACCACTTCTGAAAAAAACTTCCCAAGAAAATTGCAGGGAGGTGTCCAGGCAATCTCCGAGAATTAAATGTGATTGAACAGGAGAAAAAAAAATCAATTGGGGACTGGTATATTTGGGGAACCAGACCTTTTTGCAAACATGTGTAGGCTGGCAATTTTGGAGATGGTTGCCTAGTCAGATCTGAAGGGATAAATGGCTGGGAAAGGCTGATGACATGAACGAAACAATCCAAGATTGAACTACGGTAATTCCTCTGGAGGAATTAGCCCTATGAGATAGATCACTCAGCACACAGCCTTCCCAGATTTGCTGAGCTACAACTTCCAGGTGCTGATGTACTAGATTAGTGAAAGGCTATTCCCAGAGAGAGGAACAAATGCCAGACTCCAAGAGAGATGCTGATCTCCTTTGAGTTCCCCTATCTGTTCTGCTAGTTGCAAGTGAATCCTTGAGTGCTTCCATGTGCTGTTATTTATTTAACAGTGAAGCTATTCAAAGAGATGACTCACACTCTGGCCCAGCCCCAATCCTTCCACAGAACCCAGAAGAAGGAAAACACACACACACACACACACACACACACACACACAAATGGAAATCACCACCCGCCTGGCATCACAAAACTCTTTAACCCTATCTGGAACGCCCAACTCCTGCAATGCTTCCCTAGCAGCCATAACTCAGCCATTCTCCTCTTTTACTTCTATACAAAGTTGGATCCCTTACATTGGCAGACTACGTACCTCTTTAAAGCCCAAACATCCATTAAATCTGTATCAGGCAAACAGTACTGCTATGAGAATTGGGGTGGACAGGAGCTGGGGCGAGTAACAGCAGCTCACCCCATCGTGCGGCACTTGGGTCTCAAACCTGGGCTGCCAGCTTTCCAGCTGACCAGCTCAGGATCTTTAACCACTGAGCCATCAAGCCCCCAGTTTGCTTTGATAATCATGTTAATAAGCTCTTCTCACATGAAGGACTACTACTAAACATATCCCACTCATAAATTATGCTTTCTAAAATCAGGGAGCACCTTCAGAATTGTGCGAAACCTGTATAGGAGGCACTTCCCCCCATGGTCGCTAAAACCACCATTTTGTGCTTTCCACAATGCATCAGAGCCATGCTAAATTAACGGCATTCTGGGAAATGGAAATTAGCCACTTCCCACAGCAAGACATTCTGGAAACTTCCCACAGGGTGGTAGGTTTGAATGTGGCAGATGTTGATGTGGGCATATCAGAAGCCTACATTAAAGAGAAGGTCCTTTCAGCTGGAAAGCATGCTTGTTGTCTTCAGAGACTGTGAGATCTTTCGGCATTGACTATGTCATTCTTTTGAAAGCATGTCCGTTGGTTGTCAATAGGGAGGGCAAAATGTTTTGAATTCCAAACACCCTACTTGGAGCACCAATCACTCTGTTTCATCTTAAAAAGCCTGAGTGCAAAATAGGGTGTTTTAATTATTCTGGAGGACTTTTAAGCTGAATTTATAGCATTTTGAACTTGAAACTCTTCTAAAACTATCAAAACAGTCTTTTTCAGGCTTGAAATCAGGTATTTCTGCCTCAAAGAGAGGTGTTTTTTTCCCCAATTCAGATCCCTTCTTATTAAAAGGAGACAGCAAAAATTCTCTCACATTTTCTTTGACAGTTTTCATAAATTAAGTGGAGAATTCTTAAAAGCTGTTTGCATTCAGTTCTAGTTTTAAGTGTCTACATAACCCTAGTACAATTATTTTTCTTCTTCTTCACCCATTAACTAATGTATAGCTTTTACTGCTTTAAGTATTTCAAATCACTTTCCAACTTGCTTTAGAGAACTGGGGCATATTAAAAATAAAAGATATAGTAGTTTAGATTTCCCCTTTTTCCTTTCTTCTGTTGTTTCTCTGTGACAGCCCCTCAAGTACTGGAAGACTGCTATCAAATCACCTCTAGTCCTTCTCTTTGTTAGAGTAGACATATCTATCGTGTTTCCTCGAAAATAAGACCCACCTGGAAAATAAGCCCTGGCATGATTTTTCAGGATGCTCGTAATATAAGCCCCACCCCCAAAAGTTAAGATCGCATTTAGTACTGAATTTCCCTGAAAATAAGATCTAACCGGAAAATAAGCCCTCATGTGTCTTCTGGAGCAAAAATTAATATAAGACCCGTTCTTATTTTCAGGGAAACATGGTAGTTCCCTCAATCATTCATCATATGGTTTAGCCTCTGGACCCTTAATCTCTGCACTCTTTCTAGAGTCTCAACATCATTTTCATTCATATCGTGGTGACATTGAGTCTGATTCTCTCACAATATGAAATTCAGGGGCTGCACATGTACTCTGGGACGTGTATTCCTGCCGCAATGAACGCTGTAGTGCAGTGTTTTTCAACCTTGGCAAATTTAAGATGTGTGAACTTCAACTCCCAGAATTCCAGAGCCAGCATGCTGCTACAAGTACAGATAATCCTCGACTTACAACAGTTCATTTAGTGACCGATCAAAATTACAATGGCATTGAAAAAAGTGACGTATGACCGTTTTTCACATTTATGGCCATTGCAGCATGACCATGGTCCCTTGATCAAAATGCAGCCTCTTGGCAACTGACTCGTATTTATGACGGCTGCAGTGTCCTGAGTTCATGTGATCCCCTTTTGTGACCTTCTGACAGACAAAGTCTGGGGAAACCAGATTCACTTAACAACCATGTTACTAACTTAACAACTGCAGTGATTCACTTAACAACTGTGGCAAGAGAGGTCATAAAATGGGGCAAAATTCACTTAATGTTTCGCTTAGCAACATAGATTTTGGGCTCAATTGTGGTTGTAAGTCGAGGGCAATCTGTAGTCCTCAGCTTACAACCACAATTGCGAATGGATTTCTGGTTTAAGTCATTACAGTCCAATCCAGTACATTACGTACATCAAAACACATGATCGAATTTGGTTTTTTGACAGTTTTTACAGCAATCGTTAAGCAAATCACTCTGTCCATAATGTGAACCCTTTGTAAATGGACATTTTCTGCTGGAAACTAGCAAAAAAATATTGCAAATCATGGTCATATGATTGTGGGACACTGCAACCAGTCATAAGGGTGAGTCACTTGCCAAGCAACTGAAATACAGCCAGTTGTCAAGATTCTTTAATCCCCAATTCCTGGAGGTAAAACATATTGGAAAAAGAGCACACGAATCTTGCTTCCTTCATCATGTTCTGCAGCCAAGGAGTTTGGCTTGCTTATAGCCAAAAACTGTGATCAAATATATAAATATAACAAGTCTCTTTTCACAATAACTGCACCTATTTTGCGTGCAATAGCTCAGGCAGCAAGCTGAACAAGTCTCAACGCATAGACCCAAGCAAGGTTTTGTAAACCACCAGGAAGTAGTTTTAATGTGCACAATATACAAAACACTCAGCCTATTGCAACACACACAGACACACACACACACACAGAGGCTCCTTGGCCTATATCAAAGCCATTTTTTGGCAATAGTACAGATCAGGTGCTCCCCGTAAGTACACACAAGTCATCTTGCTCTGCAAAGCAAACAGGATTTGTAGACTGCAACGGGGAAAGTCATGCCACAACGAAAAAAAGGAATAACTCAAGCAGTGTTGGCTGTAAGATCCAGGAAGAGTCTCAGTCCCCTAAATATTGGATTCAGCTATTCAATCAAACGAGCTAATACACTTTTGGGAAACTGTGATTTCATGCAACGGATTGGGAGAATGCCAGGAGCAAGCATGAAGGGTATGCACAGCAATCTGAAAATGTTTCCAGCTGTTTGGATTCTATCCAACCAAGAAGGCCAATTTTCCATTAGCCTGATTTCATCTCCATCCTATACCAAATAACAGAATTGGAAGGGACCTTGTAGGTCATGTAGTTCAACCTCCCCCCCTTTTCATCCTGCTGATTTTTGTTTCTTGGACTCCTCCTTTAGATTCTTTTAGATTTGTTTGTTTGTTAAGATTTTTGTTTTGTATTTTTTAGCTTTTTATGCAATTTTACCTTTGTATATTTATGTTTTTAAATTACTTGTACCTGACCCTCCTTGTGCTGCTTTCTGTAATAAAGATAGATTTTAATCATATGACCATGAGGATGCTGCAACAGTCTTAAGTGCAAGAATTGCTCGTAAGTCACTTTTTCACTGGGGTTGTAACTTCGAATGGACACTAAACGAATGGTTGCAAGTTGAGGATTCACCTACACTCCAACCCTGCTGAAGTTATATCAGCATTCAAGGCAAAAATAGAAACAGCAATATAGCACATAGACTGATATACTGCTCCATACTTCTTTAAAGCCCTCTCTAAGCAGTTTACCAAGTCAGCCCCCAACAATCTGGGTCCTCATTTTTACCTTGAGCTGGTCAGAATTGAACTGCTGGCAGTCAGCAGAATAAGAATAAAAAGAATAGAAGCTGGAAGGGATCTTGGAGGTCTTCTAGTCCAGCCCCCTGCTCAAGCAGGAGAACCTATACCATCTCAGACAGGTGATTGTCCAGTCTCTTCTTAAAAATTTCCAGTGATTCTAACCACCATTCTAACCACTGCAACACCATAGCTCTTAGAATACTAGAGTTTCTCTAGTCATCTCTGGAAGTAAAACTAAAATAACTAATTAATTGCACAGTGACTCTTTCATGACCAAAATCCGCCACTTGAGGTAGCCAATCCCCTCTGCCTCACAGTAGGGCCAGCCTTGTCTGCTCTGCTCCAAGTGGAACTCCTGACTTCTGGATGTGGCTGCCACACACAATGGGAGGAAATTCAGGCTAATGAAAAATTTCTTCCCACAGCTAACAGCTCAGCTGTTATGTGTGAAAAAAAAATCACTACAGGGTCACCAAAGTGTTAAACAAGTTCGTTGATGACTGTAAGCGTGCAGAGGGGTTGCTTATTCCAATGCAACAAAGTTATTTGCTGGGCCAAAAGTTTCCTTCCCCACCTTAGAGAGAAATTAAGGCACAGCTTAGAAGAAGCCATTTCTTACCTCGCACATCTGCAGCTGGAAAGTGCGGCGTTCCTTCTGCAGGTCCTCCGTGATTTCCGTGGCTGAAGGTTCAGTCTGGATGACTCCAGATATCTTGGCTCGCTCCTTCTCCTTCTCCAGCTTTGCTCTAAGGTAACAGAGAATCCCAGCGGCAACATGATGGACAGATTCGGAATAATTTGTGAGGTACGAACGGTGTGCAGGGAATTCTACAGGTTGATGTTGCTGCAATCTGTCTGTACCCGTGGTCATATTTTAATACAGGTAGGTCTAGGGTGCACCGTGATCTACTTGGCTCAGTCCAGGACACGAGACACACTGGCAACTGCCGCTAACCAGCTTTTCAGAATGGAGGTTTTTCCTCAAGCTGAGGCATTTTGCAACAATTACCTGCATTCTTCTGTTGAGCTCTATAACTCAAAGAAGATTCCAGCTTTTTATAGGTAGTCCTTGACTTGCAACCACAATTAGGACCAGAATTTCCATTGCTAAGCAAGGGGGTTGTTAAAACAAGTCACAGTCAGTTTTATGATCATTTTTGCGATGATTGTTAAGAGAATCGTGCAGTTGTTAAGTGAATCCAGCTTCCCCATTGACTTTGTTCATCAGAAGCCGGCTGGGAAAGTCATAAATGGTGATCACATGACCCCAGGATGCTGCAACCATCACAAATACATGCCTGAATTTTGATCACGTGGCCGTGGAGATGCTGCGACACATGTAAATGTGAGGACCGGTTGCAAGTCACTTTTTCAATGTTGTTGTAATTTCAAAAGGTCACTAAATAAATGGTTGCAAGTCTAGGACTACCTGTACGCTTAAAGAGTCAATTTCATCAGGAACCTAGGAAGCTGCTCATACCAAGCCAGACCTTCCACCCATATTGTCCACACTGAGTTGCAGTATATATATTTACGCAGATATTTTTCCCAGCTCATTTTGAAGATCCCATGTTCAGCATGCAAATGCTACCTTCAATTTCGGCTATGCACTGATTTGGGTTCAAAAAGAAAAAGCTGGTTAGCTGACTGCCCTTTTGTGGGCATTCTCCTAGACCAGGGGTCTCCAAACTTGACAACTTTAAGACTTGTGGACTTCAACTCCCAGAATTTTTGAAAACCCCTAGACCATTCAACCACTCCTGGCAGCAGTTGCCTCTTTCCTGAGGATTGCATGGCTGTCTTCCAGAATTGTAGTGCCATCCTGAGAAAATATGTGGCATTTGTTAGGCACAGAGGTACAACTTCTTAATCAAAGTGTGTCTCCAGGAATTGCCCTGCAGTTGCAAAAGACAACGTTGCAATCTCAGAAAAAGAAGCGGCTGCTTTAAGAAGTGATTGACAGGTAGGTGATCTCCAAATGTTCGTCAAAGCACTTTTTGCTTTTGGGATCCATAGCCCTTTACCACTACAGCCAGAAAGATACCGGATAGCCCAGAGGCACATTATAAAGCAGGGGTCGCCAACCTTGGCAGCTTTAAGACTTGTGGACTTCAACTCCCAGAATTCTGGGAGTTGAAGTCCACAAGTCTTAAAGTTGCCAAGGTTGGCGACCTCTGTTATAAAGGACACTCTCGTTGGCTGGTTGACCCAAATCTCACAACCTCCCTTATGGCTTGTCCACAACAAAACACTTTTGTTTAGGAGAAGATGGAGGAAGAAGCCCACTCCTGCCAGAGGCAACAGGGGTTGGTTACTCACACTTTGGTCTCGTAATCTTTCCAAGCCTTTTCAATTTGCTTCTTGGAATCCTGCCCAGGGAAAGAGAAGAAAGGAGAAGGAATCAGCAAGCGAGTCACTGGAGGGTAAGAACACGAACACACAAGCACCCCTATCACTGGGCAAAGTTCCTCCCGCCCCCAAAACCTGCAAACACATACTGTTTCCCTGCATTGAGGGCCAATATTCGAACCATCTCCATGGGGACTGGAGGCTGGAAATCTGGGTTTCTCAGGCATCTTCATAGCAATAGTGTTTCAGGCTTATATACTGTTCCCTAGCGCTGTACAGCACTCTGTGGGCGGTTTATAAAATAGAAGCATTGTTTGCAGATTGCCCCCAACAATCTGGGTCCTCATTTTATTGACCTCGGAAGGATGGAAGGCTGAGTCAACCTTAAGCCCCGTCAGGATCGAACTTCAGAATTTGCCTGCAATACTGCATTTTAACCACTGCGCCACCAGGGCATTTTCATCATTTTAGTAACCCACTCCTGTTGGCCCATGGAGCAGATAGCTTTAGCAGCCCTATAGCCAGGTGTTTGTCTGAAGAAGTGAGATGTTGGGGATAGAAGAAATATGAATTGGAAAAGTCAAATAAAGTAAAAAAATCCATTTAAAAAAATAGAAGTTTAAAAAGAAAAAGGAAGCTCTTGTGCAACATTCTAGCATCAGTGCTTGTTGCATTCCTCAGAACACCAAATAAAAAATAAAATAAATAAATACAAATAAAATAATAAAATAAAATAAAATAAAATAAAATAAAATAATAAAATAATAAAATAATAAAATAATAAAATAATAAAATAATAAATAAAAAATAAAATAAAATAAAATAAAATAAAATAAAATAAAATAAAATAAAATAAAATAAAATAAAATATAAAATAAAATAAAAATGATGATGATGATGATGATGATGATGATGATGATGATGATGATGATGATGATGATGATGATGTTGGAAGGGAAGTCTTCTAGTCCAACCCCCTGCTCAGGCAGGAAACCCTATACCATTTCAGACAAATGGCTGTTCAATCTCTTCTTAAAAACTTCCAGTGTTGGAGCAGTCACAGCTTCTGGAGGCAGGTGGTTCCACTGGTTAATTGTTCTGTCAGGAAGTTTCTCCTTAGTTCTAGGTTGCTTCTCTCCTTGGTTAGTTTCCATCCGTTGCTTCTTGTCCTGCCTTCAGGTGCTTTGGTGAATAGTTTGACTCCCTCTTCTTTGTGGCAGCCCCTGAGATATTGGAACACTGCTATCATGTCCCCCCTCGTCCTTCTCTTCATTAAACTAGACATACCCAATTGAGATTATCCTCAACTAGGCGTTCCTCTGGAAGCAACTTGCATGTTTTTCTTTACTGCGTTTTTCCCCCAATATTTAATCACCATAGCATTTATCCTAATTTTTAACTGCAGGAATTTTTCAGGTCAAGTATGGATAGGAATAAAAAAAAGAGCTGATCACAGAAAGGGCCAAAGTCAACATTAAATATGAGGTGCTTCTTTTGTTTGTTTCATTTGTGGTGAGGTGGGATAATTTCTTTCTGGTTCTCAGCAACTTTTGCACAATCTCAGAAAGAGATGTGACTGCTTTAATGAGTCATACACAGCTGCTACAGTCACAGCCCCAGGTCTCAAAACACCTCTTTCTCAGTCAAATCTTTTAAAGCATTGCACAGCACTAATGCATAATGTGTTATTTAACTGGAGTGCAACTTCTGAATATGAAGCTACATCTCTCTAACTTTCTTGGCAGGCAGATGGAAGGCATTTAGTTTGGTCTCCCATCCAAGTAGTAACCAGGTTCATCCCTGCTTAGCTTTTGCAAGACCAGCCAGGGTCAGCTAGATCATTCAACAACCGAGCTGACAGGTTAGAAAATATTTCCAAGGAAAAAGATCAGTCAGCTATAAGGTTTATCAGATGACCTTTGGTGGATCAGGCTCATGGCCCATCTAGTATAGCATTCTGTGTCTCACCTACAGTGGGATTATTATTATTATTCTATCCACAATAATGCGAAATCACAACTGCCGGTTCTTTAGCTGATGTTGACCTCCATATACATTGAGTTCTTCTCAAGGATCTAGGTTGTCACGCTGTATTGGTGCAGTGCACGTGCGGATCCAAACAGTGTGGCCTTTTGTAACTGACAGAGGGAAATATTGTCAGTGCACAGATTTTCTAAGTACTATTCAAGATTTTTTTGCCATCAGGCTGTTTATGCCTAGAGCAGGATTAGAACTCACAGTCTCCCAGTTTCCAGCCTGAATCCTTACCCATTACACCAAACTGGCTGTCACAGTGGGGAATAGGATACATTTATTTATTATTACGTTTGACTGATGTAATAGATAAATTACATTACATTATATAAATTATTTTAACTTTAGATTGAATTTAGATTTGGATTTGGAGTAAGATTAACATTAGGATTACCATATTATTAGATTACTACTAGATTTGTATTCCCAGCAATTAGAGAATCAAATTAGAGAATCAAAGAAGAAAAGAACAAAGCAACCAGTGCTGTCTTCAGGGTACAGATAGTCAAGGAAGTCAAACAGAACAGTGTTCCCAAAGCTCTTTATCTCTTTTACATGCTTTGCACATACATTACAGAGTTTCAATCACACTCTCGCAGCCATTTATTGGACAGTTTTGGCTACACTGACTGAAGGCTCTCCTGGAAACAACCTTACCCACCCCATGCACTTCAAAATCTAAGGCTCTCCAAAATAATTCCGTTTTTAATTATGCACGAAAAACCAACAGTGTAGGAGGCAATCAAATCTCCAGGGTGAAGCCATTCTACAACCCAGGCACACCAGGAAGAAGACAAGGCCGGTCGACTTCCACCCCTTTCGCCTCGCCAAAGTGGGGAACTGCTAGCACATTTTCTCAGGACATACAAACCAGGCAGGTTGAAACTGGCTAGAGCATTTGAAAAGCTCATAAATCTGGTTTAGAAAAGAGAATGAGAGACAGACAGAGAGAAAGACAGACAGAGCCCTTCCACTGTCATTTCCCAGAGTTCAGCATTAAAGCAAGGTGCCCTTGACTCACTAGTTAGCAAAAGGGTAAAGATTTCCCTGTCCAGTTGTATCCAACTTTAGGGCGCGCAGTGCACATCTCCGTTTCTTGGCCGAGGGAATCAGCATTGTCCAAAGACATTTTCAGTGGTCATGTGGCCAGCATGGCTATATGCCAAAGGCACATTGAACGCTGTCACTTTCCCACTGAAGTGGTACCTATTAATCTACTCTCATTTGTGTGCTTTCAAACGGCTAGGTAGGCAGGAACTGGGGCAAGCAAAGGGAGCTCATTGCGCAGAGTTTGGATCTCGAACCTGGGCTGTCAGCTCTCCAGCTGACAAGCTCAACATCTTTCACTGCTGAGCCATTACACCCCACTAGTTGACAAGCAAGTTTTAATGCCAGCAGCCATCATATCTTGATACTTCATGAATCTACCCACTCTCCTTTTAAAACCCAACAGGCTGCCTTTATCACAACAGACAGCAGTGAATTCTGCAATTTAATTATGAACTGAGTAAAAAGTACTTCCTTTAGTGGTCGCGGGTCTCTCTGACATCTGCCAACAGACTACTGGAAAAGAGGTGATCAGCCGAACACATTCGGAGCCAATACCCGCTCTTAAGTACTGTAGTGAGGTAAGCAGCCTTTTTAGATCTACTATTCCCCACCCAACCTGCTTTGCTTAACCCATTGTGATCTGTTAAGTCTCACTGGTTGGCAGCCCCCTAAACAAAACCCACAGCGCTACTAAAGAATGGGTTCCTTAGATACAGCACACAGGGAACTATTTGATGTAAAGAAATGGCCTGTAGCAATGGGAAAAAATCTTTCCCTCCGCCAGAAAATAAACACCACAGAAGGGCCCGCAAAGAAAACAGAAAACTGAGTGAGCCTGTTTTACAGAACAAAGCTGTTTTTCCTGTTTAGCCAGTTTACAATGGATTAGGCATCAGAGGAGAAAGCAGAGAAATACAAAAAGAAAAGGAAAAACCAGGAACATTTGTACTTGGTTTTTAACTGTGTGCACACAGCCATAGTTCAAGCCCTAAAGAATCATGGTTCTGTAGATAGAGCAACTGTGTTATGCAACTGCAGAAGCTTGAAATGAAATGAAATGAAATGAAAAAAGCAAGTTACCAGTTGCCCAATATGAGATAATTCTGAGAGTCTGGAAAATCTCAGAATGGAATGGGAAGTTAACAAAAGCGAGTAGAGCAAAATTAGCATTTTCTATTACCCTGAAATAAGCCTCTATTCTTGGTCTATCTTATGTTGCAAGAGGTGTTGTAAGCATTTTTACTAGCAGGAAAAAAACAACAATCTTTCCACAAATAAACATACAGAGCAATCATGCAAATGGGTTGAGAAATTTATATCAGTTCCTACAAAGGTGCCACTTTCTAAATCAGAAGTCATACATCCATTCAATCCAAATTCCGGTTAAAGAAATAAACTTGCAGTCTGCTGATATTTCCAAAGCTGCAGTATGGAATGAGGTAGCTAAAAATAAACATTTTCCACAGTTACTATGGCCACTTGCAACCTGCTTCTGAATATAAATACATAGATCAAAACATAAATAAATAATCATGCATATAGGCAAGTCCCACAGAGTTTAACATAGTTTGATTCCCCCACAGAATTGCAGAAGACAGCAAGCCTTACTAAACATGATATGATAGTTTTGTGCAGTTCAGCTCAATGGACACTGTCAGGATAATGATTTAAAAGCTAAACAGCTTATGTAATGATGTAATGTAACATAAGGTGGATGTTGCAATAATAGGAATGACTCAGCAGGGTCTGTGTCTGTGCCTTTAAGAGTCTGAGTATAAAAGGGAAGGCTTCGCTGGAGTCTTTCTCTCTTGTAGTTTCCTCCTGTAATTGCTGTATATTGGAGTTTGCTGTTTCACCATGAAAAGTGGACATAGATCATTTTTTTCAATGCTGTTGTAACTTTGAATGGTCACCAAATGAACTGCTGTAAGTCAAGGACTCCCTGTGATGTTTTCTCCCATGGTGACTCACTGTAACCTCAGTTCATGACGAAACACAAGAAGGGTTGAGCATCTTGGGAGGATGTTGGGGAAGGAATCAAAAAAAGCCAAAATGGTGTCCACAACTGCATGACCGGAGCCCCACCCTTTTTTATATGTGTATGCACATAAGAGGAATAGGACTTTGATAATGCAATTGCAGTCATCACCTTGATTTTTTTTTTGACAATCTCCCAACACACACACACATACACAAAAGCTACTAGGTAGTAGTGCATTAAGCCAACCATCTTTGATCCAAGATACCTCAAAAATATGCCATTTAGCATAGCAATAGCATTTAGGCTTATATACCACCCCATAGCAAAGCACTCTCTGGGCAGAGACAGCACATTGCCCCCCCCCCAACAATCTGGGTCCTCCATTTTATGGATCTCGGAAGGATGGAAGGCTGAGTCAACCTTGGGCCCCAAATCAGGATCGAACTCCAAGCTGTGGGCAAAGTTTGCCTGCAATACTGCATTCTAACCACTGCACCACCAGTTCTCTCTCAAATATATGTCTGCCCACCCCAATTCCCAGCCTGCATTTCTCCATGTAAATCAGAGGTCCTCAACCTTTTGGGCACCAGGGACAGTTCTGTGAAGAAAAGTTTTTCCATGGGTGCAGATGGGGCTTTGCTTGTTTGTGCGGACCAGTTGCTAGCATGCTGCAGCCCGGTACTGATACATGGACCGGGGATTGGGGACCCCTGATTTTAATGATTCCCAATTCCTTAAGAAAAACAAACAAACCTACCACCCGGGTGTCCTTCAGCTGCCCTTTCAAAAGATTGTCCAGAGGAAAGGAGACTATATTGTTCAGATTCTGCACCTGGAAAAGACAAAAGAGGAGACTCACACACCTCCAAACAAAGAAAAAGCAATCTTGAATTATCATCAAATCTGCCCAGGCACATTGGTATTTGTTATGTCCAGTTTGCAAATGGCTGAAAATAATCCTAGTTGGTAGAAAAAAAATTACTGTACATTCAAAATGGCATTAAAAGCTATAGCCAGAAGAGCAGCAAAGAAAACTCCATGTAGCCCTTCTCAACTGCTTTGTATTTAAAATCATATCAATGAAATAAAGTATATTACTGGTAGACTTCAATTTGCAACCATTCATTTAGTGACAGTCCTCACACTTATAACCATTGCAGCATCTCAAGATTTGTGCAATCATGATCTGGGTTCCTATATTGCAGCGTCCTGGGGGTGGGGGGTTGGTTTCACATAACTGTCATTTGCAACCTTCCTAGCTGCTTCTGACAAGCAAAGTCAATGGGGAAGCTGGCAGGGGATGTCCCAAATTGCTTCCATGTAATTTCTCATTTAATGACCACACCATTTAAAGAAAAACTTTCCAGTTCCAGTTGTGGTCATAACAAAGAAGAACTGAATAGATTTCACCAAAGCTTTTGTGAATTTTTATGTCCCAAGATGAGAGGTGGGCCATAAGCTATAGCAGCCTCCCTTTCCTCTACGGCTGGAGAGGCTTTTTCCTTGTTCCAGAATTTTCAGGACGGCCTCAGAAGAATGTTGGCAGTTGAATCCTGCCGCAAACCATCTTCCCTCTTTAGCCATGCAGGCAGTCAGCCCTTCCCCAAAGACCACATTCTAAAACTGGGGTGGAGATTCCCAAAGCTCCAAATCAAAAGATGCCAAAAGGCAGAGAAATCCATTCAATTCAGCCAGAAGTCTGAATAGCTGGGAGAGGAAACCACATTGCAGCATCCAAGTCTCCAGCTAACCTGCATGGGAAAGAAGGAATGGGTTTGGAACAGGAGAAGAATTGGACCGGAGGGGGGGGCAAAGCCACCGTCATCTGAGCCCAGATGGCTGCCCCCCCTTTTTTAAAAAAAAAATGCCACCCACAGGCTTGAAATAGACGGAAGCTGTGGGATAGTTTTGATCAGGTACAGATGTGCTAGAGATGCTGCTAGGAAAATCAAAGCCTCCACCTAAAACTGGCTTTTTCTATTGAGCAAGGAAAACATGCAACCTGGGTATCCAAGAGGCATCACCCATTTCATGAAAATGACACAAATGCTATAATGTGCACTGAGAGCTTATGCACCAGAGACAAATTCTTTGTGGGTCCGATCACACTTGGCCAATGTTCTATTCTATTCTAATGTGCACCCTGAGGCCACAACATACAGTCCCCAACTTATGACCACAATTTGGACCAGTCTTACTGATGCTAAGCAAGATAGTTGTTCAGTGTGTTGTGTCTGATTTTACAACCCTTTTCCCATGGTTGCTAAGTGAAGCACAATAATTGTTAAGTGAATGAGGCGGTCATTAAACAAATCCAGCTACGCCCATTGATTTTGCTTGTCAAAAGCCAGCAGGGAAGGTCTCAGATGGCAATCACATGACCCCAGGAAGGTGCAACCATCACAAATACATGCCAGTTGCCACGTATCTGAATCATGTGACCTGGAAATGCTGTGACGGTCATACGTGTGAAAAATGGTCATAAATCATTTTTTTCAGTAACTTGGAACAGTCACCGAAGGAATAAGTTGAGGACTGCCTGTACATGATATAGTTCAGGCTTCCAACCAGGAAGCTCCAGCAGCTTCATATTAACAACTAGATAGACAACAGCAGCCTTTCCTAACCTCATGGGCTGCAGATGTCCTTCAGATGGCATTTCCATCATCTTCTTCCAGAAAAGCCAACAATCCTGCTGGCTAAGGATACCCACATCCCTAGTTCTACCTTAAGGAGAAAAACTCCCCAACTCATGATGGAGGAGGTTAGTAGAGGACCTCTTCATGCCTAACCAAATTCATGTGTGTGGAAGAAGAACTTCCCACAACTTACAAGAATGACTGAATCATTCAAGATCAGTTAAAAAGATGTGGGAATCACCCTGAAGCAACCCCCTATTTTTGAAGCCAGCCATCACAGACTATAAACCATAATTAGGGCTTAGCATAGCAGGAAGATTCCAGGCATGGATGATTCTTCAACAAGTCATGCTTCAAACAAACCATGGCTGGTTTACACATCACGCTAAGTCAACATTTGGGTTTTCAAGAGAGGATCTGCAAAGGTAGCCATTAAAGGTGGCAAAGCATAACTAAATCCACCACCTAGCCATGGGGTTGGAAGGGATCATGGAGGTCTTCTGCTCCAAATCAGTAAGGATCTATTCCAGAAGCCAAAGTTAATCAAACCAAGGCTTACAGCATAGCATGAGACCCGTTCAAGTCTTCTTCCCAAAATATTGATGGGTGAGACATAGAGGTAGCAGAGAAGATGACCTCTCATATCTCTTCTAAGACTTTCAAAAACATATATGGTACTTTGTTACCTAGGGTCAGAGTTAGTCATTTAATTTGTCTGGTTGCTTAAAAAAGCTCAAGACATTCGTAGTCCCACGAATCTCTCTTTTCCTCTTTAAAATCCATTTATTCTTGGGCTACCAGGGAGCTGTGAACTTGGGTGATAGTGGTGCTAGATGTAGCTTTGTTGGAGGCCCCTTCTGCCTGCCTGCTCTCCTCTTCCATTATCACTTCCTTAGTGGCACCGATGGGCAGCAGGTATTGCATGAAAGCACCCGCCGGCAGTCAGCCAGTATTGCCTCAGCCACACACCGTTTGCAAAAGAAATAATTCGTTGAACTATGGGGCAAGCAGGAGAAGGTCTGTGAAGATTATCTGGGACACTACACATCCTCTTCACGGCCTTCTGGGAGGAGGAGGCTCCGTGGTATCCGAAGCAGAACATCCAGATTCAGCCAGAGTTTCATTCCATACAGCATTAAACTTGTGAATTCTCAAGCTTCCTCCTTCCGTTATGTATTCAAAATGGACAGTATTTAATATTTATTTGCTATGTATATGTAGGGGTGTGGGTCTATACATATGTTGTTCATAGTGTGTTTAGGTGTGCGTCATGTATGTGTTCACTTTGAGAGCGGGCAACTAAATTTCATTTTTTATGTGTGCCGTTGTACCCACAGTAAAAAAAAATTGACAATAAAGGTTATCTATCTAAGATGTGGAATAGGAAGAGAGCAGGCTCCGATCCCTGCCCAGTGCCCATGAAACTGGAAATGTGACATCAGTCTGGTCGTTTCAGACTATTACTTCTCTTAAAAAGATGTATGGTTGCTTTTTGCCTTGGATCAATTGTCCAGCAGGCCCTCATCTCTGATCTGGGGGGGTAGTGGGGGGGGCAGGATGGATTTCTGGATCGCAGGAATCCAGAAGGCGCTTTGCAGAGTGAGATTATTTATTTAATAAATAGGTTTAAATAAATAAAGCCAGAGCAAAGCTATCTCTTCTCCAATCTGCCTCTGTGGTGCTTGGCTGTGGGGAAGCATGCTCTCCACAAGCTCCCCCCACCCAGTTCCTTTAAGATCAACACGATTTGCTTCACTTGTTATCCCCCAAAGAAATTCCATTACATCAGCCTGTCCCAGCGGCTCAGCCAGTGGTATGTGGTATGTTGCACACCCTGTCAGTTAAAGAATTGTGGGGTCTAGGAGGAGAGCCTTCCCTCCCCCACCTTATGGTCTATTCTTCCCCCAGAGGTGAGGGAGACCCCACTCTCCTGTCCTTTCAAAAAGGAGTTCAGACAGGGCTCTGCAGCCTCGTGTCAGAAGCCCAGGGGAGCACACAGCCATAGGGCTGGTTAATTCCCTGAAAGCCCTCCCTTCACCTTTTAAATAATTTTAATCTCTTGCCTCTTCTTAAAAGTTTTTTTTTAAAAAAGCCTTTATATGCAGAAAGTCCTCAACTTACAACCACAAATGAGCCTGAAATTTCCATTGCTAAGCAAGATAGTCATTAAGTGAATTTTGCCCCATTTAACAACCCTTTTTTGCCAAGTGATTCATTGTTAAATGAATCAATTATTAGTTTAGTAACATGGTTGTAAAGTGAATCTGGCTTCCCCATTGACTTTGCTTGTCGGAAGATTGCAAAAGGGGATCACGTGACCCCGGGACACGGCAACCGTCATAAATTCCTACCGGTTGCCAAGCGTCCATTTTGATCACGTGACCACGGGGATGCTGCAACAGTCGTGTGAAAAGCGGTCATAAGTCCCTTTGTTCAGGGCTGTTGTAATTTTGAACACTCACTGAACAAATGATTGTAAATCAAGGACTATCTGTATACTGTTTTATATTTTAACATTTTATTGTATACCGCCCAGAATCCAACATTGTGGGAGTTGGGCAGTGCAGAAATATGAAAAATTAAAATCCAGATCAATGGCTGTTTCCCCAGCCATTGTATCCAGGTGTTTCCAGCAGCATGATGTTCCTATTTCCCACTACCACCCCAGCACCCAGTCCTGATTTTGAGAAATATTTAAGACTGTTAATGCAGACCCCTCTTCAAGCTTAAAGTCCCAGCTGTAGATTTGCAACACCATTGTCTGTTCTCTCTCTTTCTTGTAATATAGCTGTATTAGACATTCTCTCTCTCTCTCTCGTAATATTTATTAGACATTTTACAAAAATATACATAAACAGGGAAGGAAAAAAGAACCAAAAACAGGGATAAAAGAATAGGCTACGAATGAGTCAACAAGGGATTTGCAAATATCATGGAGACTATAATTTTCTAGCATACTGTGAATGATTGTGAATAACTGGATACATCATATCATTTCAAAAGCTTGACAACTGCTATTAAGCTATGAGCAAAGCATAAATACCAGGAACCAGGGTCAACATAGTATAAATCATGAGGCTGTAAATTGCAATAAATCCTATCATACTACTAAAAGATGATTATTTGGGAAGTTTTATAAAATTAAAATACAGACTTCATGTGGAGAGAAACCCAAATGTTGGACACAGCACAAATGTAATTTCTTCAACCCCAAACCTCAGGTTTGGAAACTTTTCTTCCCTTCTTAGCAAAAATCCCAGAGAATACAGGGGGCTGAATTTGATAGGCTTGGCATAATTTGTCCTCTTCATCTCCAGACTTGCACCAAGCTGGGTTGGGGACTTTTAACCTCAGACCATTCCCCTGGATGCCCATGGCTGCTACCCAGGCTGCTTAGAGACCTCTCCAGAGCAGAGCTTCTCAACCTTAGCAACTTTAAGAAGTACCTGGACTTCAACTCCCAGAATTCCCCAGCCAGCATACTGCTGGGGGAATTCTGGGAGTTGAAATCCAGACCTCTTAAATTGCCAAGACTGAGAAACACCACAGCAGAGAGTGAGCCACGGAAGGAATGCATGGGTTTTCTGACGCAGGAAAGGCTCAACAAATGCTAAATTCTGCCCAGTTACTGAGCAGGAGGCCTGCACTTAACCCAAATAAACCCCAGAACTTTCAGCTGTAAAGCAAAGCTCCTCTTATCTTACTCCTACCCTCCCATTCAACAGACCACCTTGAAGCAGCTTCTCTCTAATCCCTCGCCGGCAGTCATTCAGCTCAGGGAATTGGCAGCCTGCCAGGAAGGAAACGTGAATTTGGGATAGCAGCAGCCAAGCTAACATAGGAAACCGTTGCCTACAATGAGGCAGGCTTTTTTGTGACTGCCTCGGCAGTAACTAACCATCATCATTGCCTTCTAGAGACTTTGTCTTGGCTATGCTTACTACTTTTAACAGGGGAAGCTGTGCCCAGGGGCCTCCAACGGACATTTGCATCTTTAAAAAAATAAATCAGCAAACTACACTCCATGCCCAGCTCTGCCCCTTACCAGGTTTTTCAAAAGAGCCGTCACTTCCCTGGTGAAAACAGCAAGGTTGAGGAAGCCAGTGGAAAGTTCGTGATTGTTCTGAGAAAGGTGGTTATTGCCAAAGTTCTCCAGAGTTTCGCTGTATTGTTCCTCATTCTCCACATGAGCTGAGGAAATAATCAGGACAGGGAAAACAAAGGTGAGGGTGGAAGATCTCTGCAGCTCCGGAGATCCTCCTCAGCATCGGCATGAACATGAATTAAATTAATTGCAACAGAAGAGCCAGTCCATCGTTTTTTCCTATGGGTTAACCGCCCTTTTAGGGCACAAGTTCCTCTTGCTGGAAACAAATGGCAATGCATAAATGGCTTGATCACCTTTGCACAAGTTGCTTGTTGGAATTCTTGCGAGTGTTTCTAGATAAGTCAGGGGTCTTAAACTCGGCTCTTTTATGACTCATGGACTTCAACTCCCAGAATTCCTCAACCAGGCATGCTGGCTGAGGAACTCTGGGAGTTGAAGTCCATGAGTCATAAAAGGGCCAAGTTTAAAGACCCCTGAGATAAGTGATCTGATAAAGCAGGGGTCTTCAAACTTGGCAACCTTAAGACTTGTGGACTTCAACTCCCAGAATTCCTCAGCAGCCAGGACTGGCTGAGGAATTCTAGGAGTTGAAGTCCATAAGCCTTAAAGTTGCCAAGTTTGAAGACCACTGTGATAAAGCAATCCCTCGGTATTTTTAAAACAAGGCATACAAACTACAGCTAGTCCTCGACTTAGAACAGTTCGTTTAATGACCATTCAAAGTTACAACGGCACTGAAAAATGTGACTTATGCCCGTTTTTCACAGTGACGACCTTTGCAGCATCCCCACAATCATATGATCAAAATTCAGATGCTTGGCAACTGGTTCATATTTACGACCGTGGCTGTGTACCAATGGGATCTCCTTTTGTGACCTTCTGACAAGCTAAGTAAAATGGGGGAGCCAGATTCGCTTAACAACCAGGTTACTAACTTATCAGCTGCAGTGATTCACTTCACAAACTGTGGCTGAGGCTGAGTGTGCCTGGCTGAGGAATTCTGGGAGTTGAAGTCCACAAGTCATAAAAGGGCCAAGTTTGAAGACCCCTGGACTAGTGAATCATAGTAGACCAACATTGTTAGCCCTGAAGTGAGGCTAGGTATCGCAGGCTACCTATGAAGCCAACCCCCCAACTTAACGTAACCTGAGGAAACAAGCAGGCATTCTTGGCTGCTGAGGAGGAAACCAGCTGTCAAGGAATGTTTATAAATGGTGTAGCCGCTGCAAGAAAAGCAGAAAAGTGTGAGGCGTCTAGAGAGGGGAGGCAATAAGCAAAAATAAAAAAAAAAAAGGACCAGGAGAAGTCTGTGAGACGGAGAAGGGAGGTCTATTGGCTTTAGCTGAACATCAGGGTGAATCAACATTTAATGGCAATATTTAGATCAGTGTTTTTCAAAGCTGACAACTTTAAGATGGGTGAACTTCAACTCCCAAAATTCCTTAATGGGGAATTCTGGGAGTTGATGTCTACATCTCTTAAAATGGCCAAGTACGAAAAACACTGATCTAATCAATCAGATACACATACTCCTTCGATGTTCCTTAATCTATAGAGCTATTCGAAAAAACCATATCCTCCCCATAATTGATAGGTATCCTGGTCGTTCAGAAAGTATTTATCTCCAGTGGCTGCTTAAGGACGAGCAGGCAGTGATCACGGTGCAGGTGGCTAGATTCTGCACAGCAGCACGGGGGATTCGCCAGAAATATAAACATTTTAGATCTTTTTAATAATCTTTTATAATTCATTTTATTATGTGTTTTTATCCAGCATTAGACTATACTCAATGTATTTTTATTGTCAGGTCAGTATGATTCAGTTTTTCTGAGGGTAGCTAGGTTTTGTTATACTGTCTGCAAAACTAGGCAGACCTTGGTCACCCACTGATTACATCATTAATTGTAATATATTGCTGTGTCTTCTTGTGTTGGTTCTGCTTAGTTTTGTTTTATTTGAATGTTTAATTTATGTGTTGGCCTTTGGCTGTAATAATTGATTGATTGATTGAAATTGATTGATACCTTTATAAGTCTTTGACCTGCAACCATAATTCAGCCTGGAATTATGATCCTTGGGCATGGCAATTGTTAAGCAAGTACCACATAACCACATCCAATTTTACAATATGTTTTGCAGCAATCATTAAGTGATGGTTAAATGAACCCATTTTCCCCAATGGGGTTTTTTTTTTTTTTGCTAGAAACCAGAACTAGATGCCAGAAATCAGCAAGAGAGAGAGAGAGAGAAAACCACACCAAAAATCATTATCATGTGAACTCAGGATGCTGCAAAAGGTTGTAAATATAAAAGGTTTTACTTTAGAGATTCTGCTTGAGGGTATGAGAGTTGTAATTATTCTTCTCCTCCTTGGTGGGGGCAGTTTTTGCTTAGGTCTTGTAGATGGCTTGGATCAGTGTTTTTCAACCTTGGCAATCTTCAGATGTGTGGACTTCAACTCCCAGAATTCCCCAGCCAGTATGGGACTCCCCGTTGAAGTCCATACACTTCAAAGCAGCCAAGGTTAAGACACACTGGCTTTGGTGCATACATCTTAACATACAACTGCTTTCAAACTTGTATCTACAAATCCACATCCCTTCCATGGGTGATCAGCCAGATGGCCTCTTTGGCTGATGCACCAGCTGATAAAAGAGCATTAACTTACTGAGCCCAGAAACATGAATCGCTTTCACGTATTTCCTGATCCGCTGAAGAATGGCTTGGTCTCCATCCAAACTCTGAAATACAAAAAGGGGGGAAAAATTGCAAAAGCTTTTAAATGTAGCTAATTTAAGCCCCTTTTCAAAAAAACAAACAAACAGTGATGTCCTTTGGAAAACTGTATGTCACAAGTATTCTCTTAACCAATGGCAGAGTTTATACAAAATAAAATTTTGAACCACTCTAGCTGGTTAATGCAATTATGATTAATAATTGGTATAAAGGAGGTATAAACATTAACCTAGCCAGGATGATTGAATGTATGGTGACTTTGCATCAGCTGCAAAAGATCTAGACCAGAAAGGGGCTGTTTTCTGCCCATCTTCAACCTCTCTGAGGTCTTCTCCTTGACCATGGTAGAAAACTTGGTGCTAAGCTAGATAAACATTTAAAGACAGCTTTTTCACAGTGTTATTTCTAACCCAGACATAAGAATCCCATCTGGCCTCATTTGTTTGTAATGCTGTTACCCATCCAAAAATTTTGGCATGAAATGGGATATATCCACCTCAAAATGAAATAGCAGATGAGTGCCTGGCTTAAATTTATGATATGAGTCAATAAACAAAGATTGCAGGGACAGATCTTAGAAGAATTCTAGGACCAACTTCAACCACAGAACAAGAGAGGGCAAGGCAAGGAAGGTCCATAAGATTAAAATCTACCATAACATAAAAGGTAATTATAATGCGACAGTGTCAAGCCAAAGGTTACAAGGAACAGCCTTCCCATCAAACTGGACCTCGTGTTTTATCTCAATGGAACTTAATTTTTCATATCTTATATCTCACCAACCACTCTCATAAAAATACCTGTCCGTCTTTTTCTAAGAAGGACATTTCTGTGTTTATAGATATCCTGTTACTATACAGATAGTCTTCGGCTTACAACCACTTATTTAGTGATAGTTCAACAGCACTCAAAAAAGTGACTTGCAACTGTTCTTTGCACTTATGACAGTCACAGCATCCCCCACAAGAACGTGATCAAAATTTGGGCACTTGGCAACCAGTATAGCAAGAGCAAGAGCACTTAGACTTATATACCACTTCACAGTGCTTCACAGCCCTCTCTAAGTGGTTTACACAGTCAGCCTATTGCCCCCAACAATCTGGGTCCTTATTTTACCAAACTCGGAAGGAAGGAAGGCTAAGTCAACCTTGAGCCGGTGAGAATCGAACTGCTGAACTGCAGGAAGCTGGCAGTTAGCAGAAGTAGCCTGCAGTACTGCATTCTAACCACTGCGCCACCTCAGTATGTATTTACCATAGTTGCAGCACCCTGGACTTGTGTGATCACCATTTGCGACCTTCCCAGCTGGCTTCCGACAAGCAAAGTTAATGGGGGAAGCCAGATTTGCTTAACAGCTACATGATTCCTTTAACTGTGGTGATTCACTTAACAACCATGGTGTAAAAAGTCATATAATTCAGCATGGCTTAACAACTGTCTTGCTCAGCCACTGAAATTCTTGTCTCAATTGTGGTCCTAACTCGAAGACTCCCTGTATGTAGCATTGACCCTAAGCTTTAAAAGGTATTTGCCATTGCTCTAAACAACAATAGACACAACTGTACAAGCGACGCGAAAAAGATGGGAAAGACTTGAATCAGCAAAGAGTTAATTGCAGTTTGGCGAAGCTTCAGTCGTGATAGCAGTGCTGGAAAATACTTGAGGAGTGTAATCGTTGGCAGGAAAGGCAAGTCATTGTTTAGGGTCAAACAAGGGATAACATTTGCAGTGATGAATAAAAGAAGACGGTTTTCTCACTGTTGGGAAAGTCAGCTTGGAGAAAGAGCTTGTGCACTATCAGTTCTTTGACTGCCTCCTTTTATCCGATGAAACTTTAGCATTTTGGCTCCTGATTTTAGAAGTTGGTAGAGGTGCAGGGAAAAGGGGCACAATGGCTCAGCAGTTAAGATGCTGAGCTTATCACCATGCGATGGGGTGAGCTCCTGTTCCTTGCCCCAGCTCCTGTCCACCTAGCACTTCGAAAGCATGCAAGTGTGAGTAGATAAATAGGTACCACTTCGGTGGGAAGATAACAGCGTTCTGTGCGCCTCGGTGTATAATCATGCCAACTACATTACTACGGAAATGTCTTTGGACAATGCTGGCTCCCTCGGCTGATGAGCACCGGGGCGGCGCTAGAGTCAGGCATGACTGGATGGGGAAACGTTTACTTTTACCTTTACCTTTAGAGATGCAGGGTTAAAACGGGTGAAACACATGGAATTCATTCATGCACCTGCCTCCTCTGGTTTAACTTACAACCATTCATTCAACAACCGTTCATAGTTATGATGGAGCTGGAAAAAAGGGGACTTATGCTCCTTGCCCACAGCAGTCTTAAGGTCACTTGATCAAAATTTGGGCACTTGGCAACTGGCAGCATCCTAGCATCACGTGACTGCCATTGATGACCTCTCCAAGTCAGCAGGGGAAGCCAGATTTGCTTATTGCCCACCTGATTGGTGATTGGCTTAACGACCATGGCAAAAAAGGTTGTAGAAGTGAGTGCGATTCACATTCCGCTTCGCTTAGTGATGGACGTTCCGGTCCCAATTGTGGGGATAAGTTGAGGACTATCTGGGATTTGGAGAATCCTGGAGGTTCTCACATTAACGGCTACCCCAGGGTTCACTAAAAGAATTTTAAAAATCCATGCCTTTGTGGCAAGGAGTCTCCTTCAATCTGAGCTGGGAATTCCATAGATGTGTCCATATCATTCCTTGGCCATAGTAAAGAGGCTGTTTTGCCACTGGCCTCTTCAGAAATGTTTTTCCACTTCTCAATCAGATCTGTAACTTTGGATATTCCCTGGAGAACTCCCCCCCCCCCAGTCCTACCCATCCTTCTAGACAAAGTATTGGGTTGCAGGAACTGTCCCATTAAGCCTGCTTGCAGAGTTGATCATGATAACTGCATTTTTCACAAGAGAAATTCCTGGAAGCTATCTGTTTGCATCATACACACACACACACATTATTATTACCATTATTATTATTCTTTTTGTTGTTGGAATTTAAAAATAAAAAGAAATATCGAAGCCGGGATGCCAAACACCATTTTTATTCTTGAAGTCTGTCTAAAGCCCTGCAGGAAATAAATATAATGCTTAGAGGCTGGAGCTTCTCAGCATGCTAGCTTGGTGTCTAATTTTTTTAAAGTTATAAAAATCAATGCGTGCATTTATTCAATCTTCAATGCGTGCATTTATTCTTCTGTTGGTTTGTCAAAATATTAATCAAGCGAGCAAAGAGGTGGCTGTTGCCAAGGGATGCAGTTGCTAAGGGACTTCTTAATTCCTCACCTGCAGGGCCCTTTCTCAGTTAAGATGCATCACCTAAACCAGGGGACTTCAAACTTGCCCCTTTTATGCCTTGTGGACTTCAACTCCCAGAATTCCTCAGCCAGGCATGCCTGGCTGAGGAATTCTGGGAGTTGAAGTCTACAAGTCATAAAAGGGCCAGGTTTGAAGACTCCTGACCTAAACTCTAACACCAGATTAGACTTAATGTGTGTTCTTCTGCAGAAGCATTTACTCCAGTGTTTTTCAACCTTGGCAACTTTAAGATGTGTGGATTTCATCTACCAGAATTCCCCAGCCAGCCAATCTGACTCCAACTAGGAGGAGTCCAACTAGCAGGGTCTCTAGGCAAAGAAATCCTTTCCCATCTGCTGCCAATTCTCTTTTGCCTGGAGCTGAACCTGGAATTCATTGCCTGCCAAAGATCAGAGAGGCTGTGAATTTGCCCCAAACTACCACAGTCAGACTCCAGTTTCTCCCATACCTCACATGACAAGAGTTCACCTGGGCAAGGCAGACATGACAGCAGAAGTCTTGGCATGCCTGATCTTGTTAAAGGAACTGCAGCAGAATCCAGGGAGGGGTGTCTTTCCCAGGTGGGTCATGTGCACAACAGAGACAGGCTGTCAGGTTGAGGGATTATTATTATACAGCAAATGTTGCAAGAGGAATCAGACTGGAAGGAAGGAATCACATCATTGCAACACAGTGCAAACCTTGCACTGCTGTTTATTCTCCTATTAGGAGAGTGCAGATAGTTCTCGACTTACAGCCATTTGTTTAGCCATTCAAAGTTATAATGCCAGTGACTTACAACCAGTCCTCACACTTACAACCATGGCAGCATCCCCAGGCTCACATGATCAAACTTTGGGCGCTTGGCAAATAGGAATAGAATAGAATAGAATAGAATAGAATAGAATAGAATAGAATAGAATAGAACCTTGGAGGTCTTCTAGTCCAGCCCCCTGCTACCATCTCAGACAAGTAACTGTGTAGCCTCTTCTTAAAAATCTCCAGTAATGGAGCACCCACGATTTCTGGAGACAAGCTGTTCCACTGGTTGATTATCCTCACTGTCAGGAAGTTTCTCCTCAATTCCAGGTTGCTTCTCTCTTTGTTCAGTTTCCAACCATTGTTTCTCGTCCTTCCCTCTGGTGCTTTGGAGAATAGTTTGACCCCTTCTTCTTTGTGGCAGCCCCTCAAATACTGGAAAACGGCTATCATGTCTCCCCTATTTTTTCTTTTCTTTAGACTAGCCCAGTGATGGCGAACCTTTTAGAGACCGAGTGCCCAAAACCCGCCCACCCACCCCTGCTCCGCCTCCCACCCTGTCTGCTCCGCCCCCACCCACCCCCTGCACCACCCGCCCACAGGGCCACCCACCACCTCCATGGCCTGCCGCAGATCACCCAGGGGCCCTGCAGCGCCATGGCAGCCATGCCCTCCACCCGCACCCCGCAACATCATCTGCGTGCAATGGGGTGCGAGGGTGGGGTCTTGTCCCTGCTGCCCAGCTGCCATGTTCTTGGCTGTGCTGCTCCGTGTGGGCCACGCCCAGGGACAACTCTCCTCTGGGGGGGCTGCTGGTGAGGAGGGGGCTGTGGGGGGAGGCAGGGATGGGCGACAGCGTGTGTGCCCACAGAGAGGGCTCCGGGTGCTGCCTCTGGCACGAGTGCCATAGGTTCACCACCACTGGACTAGCCA